TAAGGGATGAAAGAGGGATCAGACAGCAAATAAACAAACATATGAAATAGAAATGCAATCTGAACTTTCAGATGAAGATTATTCAATCTCTAGATATTTCTAGTTTAAGTTTTTATTTTGCAACCATTTTCCAATAGAAAAACTTTTGTGAATTTATGCGAGAAAGAAGCAATAAAACATCATCATTTGGCTTAAACGGGATATTTGTAAAGATCCTGCTCGTATTTGGTTTGGTTCCATCTGATTTATTCTGTCAATACCTTTTATATAACGGGGAGGTGGCAACTTATACCTTTTCGGGGTGGTGGCAACTTATACCTTTTATATAACGAGGAGGTGGCAACTTATACCTTTTCGGGGTGGTGGCAACTTATACCTTTTATATAACGAGGAGGTGGCAACTTATACCTTTCATAGAACGCGGGAATAGCAACTTATACCTTTTTTATGACACATGATTTCAGAATACTTAATGTAAATTACAGTAAATGTTTCTGATTAGTGATTGCATACAAAATATCAAATTTGTTGCATCGGAAACAAGATAATATTTTTGACAATAAAGTATAAAATATTGTAAGAAAGAGCATTTAGAGGAAGCTCGGATTAGAAAATGAAGAGAACGCTGCTCGGAATAAGGAATGTGGTTACTGGCCGGCCTTACGTCCCCCATTGAGTCAGAGTTTTAGTTACAATCTTTCTCTTGCAGTATCTTATGTTTAAGTTGCAATCTTCCTTTCACACCCTCTCATGTTTAAGTGCAATCTCCCTATTACAGAATCTCCTGTTAATGTTGCAATTTTCCTATCCAGAGTCTTATATTTGAGTTGCAATCTTCCTGTCACAGACCCTCGTGTTTAAGCTGCAGTCTTCCTTTCACAGAATCTTACGTCTAAGTTGCAGTCTCCCTGTCAAAGAGTCTCATGTTTAAGTTGCAATCTCCCCAGATGAAGAGGACAAATATTTTGACCCCGCCCCTTGAACGATTTCTGATATTCCTTCTAGAGTTTCATTATTCACTCTCTACACTTACATCATCCATATTCCATATATCCTTCCTTCCAATATATCAATATCTCAATATAAATATATCACGACTAAAAGTTTGAGGTGCACATTGTATCCGTTGATATTATTTTTAATTCATGGTTCTATAATAAATAAAGTAACAAATCCCATATTTGTAAACCTGAACATACCTGTATATATATATTACATTATAACTTTAGCTGCACCCTAACTTCGTTCATGAATTTAACTACGCTCATTAGTTTAACTACGATCTAATTCAACTACGTTCATTAATTTAACATATACCATAAAACTTAAAATATAGATCAGTTGGATATGGATCCTTGCTTTATTACGTTTAGACAAGTATTATTTCTCGTGTGGAGAGCATCCTATTACGTTTAGACACGTATTATTTCTCGTGTAGAAAGCATCCAGTTCGAGAGTGAGTTGTGTCTGAGCGATACATGCTAAAGAATACATATAGTGTCATATCTGGATTGATAGACTGAAGTATTACTTTAGAACATTTAGATCGAGTTTTATCTGTATGATACACACTGAGAAAACAGAGAGTGTAATTGATACAGACTAAGGTATTATTGTAGAATATTGAGTTCTAGAACAAGTTGTATCTGTATGATACACACTGAGAATACAGAAAGAGTGTTGTATCTGGATTGATACAGACAACGTATTATTGTCGAACATTAAGTTCTTGAGCAAGTTGTATCTGAACGATACAGACTAAGAATACAGAGAGTGTTGTATCTGGATTAATACAGACAAAAGTATTATTGTAAAACTTTGAGTTCTAGAGCAAGTTGTATCTGTACGATACACACTGAGAATACAGCGAGAGTGTTGTATCTGGATTGATACAGACAAAAGTATTATTGTCGAACATTAAGTTCTAGAGCAAGTTGTATCTTAACGATACAGACTAAGAATACAGAGAGTGTTGTATCTGGATTGATGCAGACAAAGTATTATTGTAGATCATTGAGTTCTAGAGCTAGTTGTATCTGTGAGATACACACTGAGAATACAGAGAGAGTGTTGTATCTGGATTAATATAGACAAAGTATTATTGTAGATCATTGAGTTCTAGAGCAAACTGTATCTGTATGTACGATACACACAGAGAATACAGCGAGAGTGTTGTATCTGGATTGATGCAGACAAAGTATTATTGTCGAACATTAAGTTCTAGAACAAGTTGTATCTGTCTGTACGATACATACTGAGAGTACAGAGAGAGTGCTGTATCTAGATTGATACAGACTAAAGTGTTATTGTCGAATATTGAGTTCTAGAACAAGTTGTATCTGTATGATACACACTAAGAATACAGAAAGAGTGTTGTATCTAGATTGATACAGACAAAAGTATTATTGTCGAATATTAAGTTCTAGAACAAGTTGTATCTGAACGATACAGACTAAGAATACAGAGAGTGCTGTATCTGGATTGATACAGACTAAAGTATTATTGTAGAACATGGAGTTCTAGAGAAAGTTGTATCTTAACGATACACACTGAGAGTACAGAGAGAGTGCTGTATCTAAATTGATACAGACTAAAGTATTATTGTAGAATATTGAGTTCTAGAACAAGTTGTATCTTAACGATACACACTGAGAATACAGAGAGTGTTGTATCTGGATTGATAAAGACAAAAGTATTATTGTAGAATATTGAGTCCTAGAACAAGTTGTATCTTAACGATACACACTGAGAGTATAGAGAGAGTGTTGTATCTAGATTGATACAGACAAAAGTATTATTGTAGAACATTAAGTTCTAGAGCGAGTTGTATCTGAATAACTTGTTGGAGCAAGTCATTTGGTATAACCAAAAACGTTTAATATATAACACTGTAAACTCCGGTTTTTTTTCAACTAGCGGGCTGACTTTTAACCAGATATAGCAAGCAGTACAGTACAAATGCAGACAATATAAGGCAAACTGGGACGGTACAACAAATGAATTCATGTCTCGTAGAGAGATTTAAGTGAATCAAACCCTCAAGCGTACGTTCTCGATTTAAAAAGAAAATTCAGATCTTTGTTTTTAAATAAAACGTGAAGTTACACGTATGTAAAGGACCATTTTCCTAACCAAGATTCATTCATGTGGGACAAGTCATGGCGAGCGGAAGTTTGAAATCACGCGATATATATATATCACATTATTCAGTATTCATATCTACGATGTTCATGAAAAACCTGCTGACCATTGGAGGTTTTACTTTTTAATTGATATATTTGATTTCATAAAATATTTCTTCAGAAAAAAGTTTGCTTTGAAATGAATTAAGGGATGAGACGACTGTACGGAATTTATCATGTCAGTTTTTTTATATTCATGATTCCCCCCAACTGTAAACTTGTTTCTTTCTTTGTCAAAATATTAAATAACCCATGAAAAAACGACATTTAAGGCAAGGCTTTGAAAATCAGAGAATTGGGCCAAGACTCTTTATTTATCATGTGACGGAAAATAAATAATTATAATTTGTCTAATTCTATTTCGTAAAAATAATCTAGAGTAAACTTTATATTAGATTGAAACTTTCCATGTTTTTCCGGAGAACAATTGGAAAGAATAAAAAGTTTGAATTTTTTTACATGTAACCAAAATTTTGAAAACTGATTATTTTCTATAAGTGACATCCGCATTTATACCGCAGAAAAACATAGAAGAATTATCAGAATGAAACACTTTTACGCCTAGTTAACGATTATATCTTAGTAAACTATTGATCAAGGGGTTCAAGGGCATCGTGTGAATCGTTACTTAAAGGGACTGTTAAGGAAAAATGAAAGGGGGTAAACCTAATCATTTTAGGAGTTGATCAAGACCCATAAAAGTTCTTTCTGATGTTCTTGTCTCAAGAAATTGATATAAAACTGTTTCAAAGTTATGTAAAAATTTATATATATAAAATTGTGTATAGCAATAGTAGGTTTAAACAGATCATATTCAGCAAATATGCAACCAATCTGAAAACGACGATGACCCAGAAGAGCCTGAAAAACTCAGGGTTGCTCCTATTATTATTTGAATTTGATAATTTTTCCTTTTTAATAGATATAATTGATAATATAATTACTACATCCGTATCATGTGACTAGAACTCCCACCAATGGCAGTGCAGTATTATTGTCACGTGATACAGACAGAGAACTTTAAAACATGTTTATTCTTCTCAATATAGCTCTTCAATAAATGGAGTAATCATTGAAAGCATATAAAATTTCAATCTTTCGTGCTATTTACTTTAGTGAATTTGGTCACTTGAAAGTAAAATAAAACCTTAAAAACTTTCTATGAAATTATTTATTTTAATTCAAGCCATTGTCTTTCTTTCTGGCTAAGTATCAGAGTGACTAAAAACTCTCTAACTAACTAATTATCTTTCTGACAATCTATCCATCTATCCATCTATCTATTCACCTATCCAACAATATCTATCCATCTGTCTAATAATCTATCCATCTATTTACCAATCTTTTCATCTATCCATCTATCCATCTATCTATTCACCTATCCAACAATATCTATCCATCTGTCTAATAATCTATCCATCTATATAACAATTTATCCATCTATCCATCTATCTAACAATCTATCCATCTATCTATCCATCTATCTATTCATCTATCCAACAATATATCTATCTATCCATCAATCTAACAATCTATCCATCTATCCATTTATCTAACGATCTATCCATCTATCTCTATGCCTAAAGTTTGTTGGCTGAGCTAGACTAGGTTTCAAACTCAACAGTTTCCGATATTCAAAATCCACAAAATCTATGGTGTAGGCCTTACTCCCCCCTCCTACCCCCCCCCACCCTTTTTTATCATAACACTTCATTAAGCATACATTCCATTCCCCTACCACAAAAAAACTTCTAAACAAAAAAAATTATTTAGACAAAATCATTTTGAATATATTCCAGAAATTGTATTTTTTTTCATGTACCATTATTCTAAGAAACTAATTATTATGATTTTTGTTTAAATATTTGTGTAGACTGCCCCTAGGGGGTTTAACCTGATTAAGCTAAGTTTGATTATTCAACGTCTAAACTTTTCCCTCGTCAATAATGATTAGAGAAACTCACTTTAATCTCAAACAGGAGATGTGGGGGGGGGGGGGGTAATTTACTGCCATCCTTCCCAGCCCCTCCCCCCCCCCACCCCTTGATTGGCGAAAAAAAATTTTCTTATGATAAAACATCTGTAATTATTCAACAAAAAATGCTTTGACACAAAATCTTGTTTTAAAAAATTTTCATTTTATTTTATGATAAACTTAACAATAAAATTTTTAAAAATATGTATAAACTATAAAATTTGTAACTTTTTTATAAACTTTAAATCCGAATTTGGGATTGTTCAACAACTGAAATGGAGGCTTTGAAGAATTTTTGGATAATAAAATTTTAAAAAAAATTCTCATGGCTCTGGATAAAAAATGTCGTCTTTGCAATAAAAAAGTTTTATACAGATTGTCACAATAAACCATGGGATTCTTAAAACGCATTTAATTTAATTCATCTGTTATTTTGAACATTCATAAATGCAGTATCCAAAAATTTTCGTTTTTTCCGTCAGCTTTTAAAATGGGATCTAACAAAAACAACTAAAATAATAATAAAAAATAAGAAGTTTAACTGTTAAGTAAAACTATTGATTCATCTTGATATAGATATTCAAATATGTATTAAAAAAAACTATTTGTTTTAACTACTGCACAACCATCAAATATAAACAAAGATTTATAGATATAAATTCATCTTTATAATAGAATACATTTAAAAATATATATATCATATAATACTATGTAAAATTTGTATGTAAAGGTTTTAATAAACTTTTATAAATTCTAAAACTTCATAAATTAAATTCTTATATGAAAAGTTTCTAATACTGATTTTTGGTAGTATACTATCAAGTGTTAAATAATTTTATACTGTTTTTCATTCTGTAAAGGTCTGTATAGACAAGAAGACGGTACAAGTTGGGCATGCAGCATAAAGCATGCAGCATAAAGCATGCAGTATAAAGCATGCAGTATAAAGCATGCTGAGACCAAATTTAATGAATTACGATGAAAATATTGCAGTTCTGAAATGTAATTTTTATCTATAAACAATAAATTTGAAAGGACGGAAAGTAGTTCAGCGGCCTAGCCAAAATTCATTATATTCGGTCCCAAATTGCGTATTTTTTAAACCATGACTACAACAATTTCAAATTTGCAGTCAGTTCTTTAACCATTCTCCAGGATGGTTTTATTGCACAACAGTTTCTGATGGAGTAAAGATAGAAGGGATCTATCCTCTTTTCTTCCTTCCTCATCAGTCTCAGATACTTCACGTCCCAACCTAGAACAAAGAAAAATATAAACTAAAATTTTTTTCTGTTTCTTGCAGCAGTGGGCCTTTAGTATAAGAAAAAATCCATGATTTAAATGCAACAGTATTTGATGCCAATGATGCTTACGATGACGATGACGATGATGATGGAGTATTGATGATTGGTGATTGAGGTTTATGATGGATGATGGCTGATGAATGATGGATGATAGATGATGGATGATTATGATGTCGATGATGATGATGATTATGATGATTATGATATTGATGATGATAATGATAAGAATGATCAGGATGATATAAATAATAATGATGAGGATGATCAGGATGATATCAATAATGATAATGAGGATGATGATGATGACACCTGGTCCAATGTTCCTCCTGTGTCTTGGTGAGCTCCATAGAGCAAAGCTCAAGTCTCTGAATCAGATCCCTGAATTGATAAACTATAGTTAATTTATAATTTTTAAAAAAAATTCTTGATTTTTTATATATCTAAAAAAATGGTATTTTCGATCATTTCGCTAAAATAATTACATAATTTCACTTACATCTGTACTCGAAGTACTGCTCTTGTACAATGTTTATTAGCACAGGTTTAACCACAAAGAATAAGGCTTTATTGACGACCTTTAACTCTTTAAATATAATGATGGAAAGGCTGAACTTGGCTCTTTGCCTTCAATATAGTTATTAGATGACAAATTAATTGATTTGGCACTGTATGACAGCTAAGCTAGTGTACCTGAAGTACTGTTCATGTACAGAGTTGGATAATATGTACAGCTAGTGTACCTGAAGTATTGTTCTTGTACTGAGTTGGTTAATATGTACAGGTAGTGTACCTGAAGTACTGTTCAAGTACAGAGTTGGATAATATGTACAGCTAGTGTACCTGAAGTACTGTTCATGTACAGAGTTGGATAATTTGTACAGCTAGTGTACCTGAAGTACTGTTCATGTACAGAGTTGGATAATATGTACAGCTAGTGTACCTGAAGTACTGTTCTTGTACAGAGTTGGATAATATGTACAGCTAGTGTACCTGAAGTACTGTTCGTGTACAGAGTTGGATAATATGTACAGCTAGTGTACCTGAAGTACTGTTCTTGTACAAGGTTGGTTAATATAAACAGCTAGTGTACCTGAAGTACTGTTCTTGTACAAGGTTGGTTAATATGTACAGCTAGTGTACCTGAAGTACTTTTCTTGTACAAGGTTGGATAATATGTACAGCTAGTGTACCTGAAGTACTGTTCTTGTACAAGGTTGGATAATATGTACAGCTAGTGTACCTGAAGTACTGTTCTTGTACAGGGTTGGTTAATATAAACAGCTAGTGTACCTGAAGTACTGTTCTTGTAAGGGGTTGGTTGATATAAACAGCTAGTGTACCTGAAGTACTTTTCTTGTACAAGGTTGGTTAATATGTACAGCTAGTGTACCTGAAGTACTTTTCTTGTACAAGGTTGGTTAATATGTACAGCTAGTGTACCTGAAGTACAGCTCTTGTACAGGGTTCGTTAATATCTCCAGTTCCTCACTTTTCCTTCTCTCTAATCTGTCAGCTATCCTAGATTAAATTATTTTCATTAATATCAAAGACATAATTCAAATTTTGATCTGCAATCCACCATTTTGTATCAGTGTTTATAAATTTATCTTTATTACCTACACTTGTTCCAAATCTATCTTATTTTCTTGGACGTTTCCAATTTTCAGATATTTTTTTCTTTTATTGAATAAATACAATATGCATTGTAACATTTTAATAAAATGAAATTTTGAATTATTTACTAAATAATAAATAAAAGAATTTTTGACAGAATTTCCAGTTTGAAATACCACACCTTCAGGTTGCAAAGATATAGGGATTAGAAAATTTTGGTTTTGCGGCAAAAACTCAGTTCCTTTGTAAATAAGGCTCAACACCTGATTAGATCTTCCAGTTTTAGTCCCGGGGGCTGGGTAGGTTTGGTTCTGTTGTCTAGCTTCTCCAGATACTCTATAGAACACTGGAAGGTCTGGAAGGAATAAACTAGAGTTGAAGGAGATGAGAATCCAAAATGTTTAATGTAGAAAATCGTTGAGCAAATATGGCGCAGCCTTTTATAACAAATTCATTGTTTTTTCCTAATCCTAACTGAACAATATGTGAAAAAGTATTTTTCTAAGAATCTCTCACCTCGGACTAAACGGGGCAAGATGCGTTCAGTTTGAATTGAATTCAATCCCGTTTTGTTCCATAATTTAAAACTATCTAATTTCATATTATCATATTATATCTATATAATTAAACAAGACATTCGTATATATATATTATATATGTGTGTTATTGGTTAAAAAATCTAAATTTTTTTTTTAAATATTTTTTTTTAAATATTTTTTTTCAACATTTTTTTTTAATTTTTCACGGTGAACACAGATAGGCCCATTTCAATTAATAAATTGATTTTCAAACTACTGTTTTTAAATTTTTTTCTTTACACCAACATCAAATACGCCCCCCCCCCTGGGGGGCCGGTGGGCGTAGTAATGACCCTTCATGCAAAGATGCCCGATTTACAACGGTACCCTTGAAACCTGTATTTGTAGAGATATTTTGTAGAGAAACCACAAATACAAATAATTAATTTTAAAATTATAAACATTGATATCTAATTCATATTTGGTAAGACAAAACTTTGGAAGTGCGCATTGCTATATTTGTAGGGTCACTTGAATTTACGTGTACAGGTTGTTGTTGTTGTTGTTGTTGTATGCTAAATAATATTGGTAATATGTTGACAACATTTTTTGAAAGATCTCTACTTGTACTCTATAGTTGTACCCGGAGTAAAATAGAATTTGTTCCTGGATTGAATTATTAGTGTTGAGAGTAGAACAGTTTCCTCCTGTTGGGACGGATAGGATGAATATCCTTGTTTTGGGTTCGTTTTCTCCAGGTACTCCCTTTAATACAAAATTTGTTATTTAAATGAAAGAGTCTGAAAGACACTTCATATTCTAAAATGGTTTAATTTATTTTTTAGAACATTTTTGAAATTAATATAAGATGTAATCAATTTAAATGTAAATCATGTAAACCAGAGCAGTTTCAGATCAGATCAATATATTGGCTAGCCAGGTCTAAGACGTAAAATGTCCAAAGTATGAATAAAAACTTTTAAAATGCGAATAAAGGAATTGAGTCTTTGCCACAAAGTTAAATTTTCAAATCCTAATATCTTTGCAACTAGATGGTTTAAGCTTTAATATTTCAAAATTAGATTATTTGATCTACCAAATTCATAGTTTGAAATATCTAAGGTCTAAGACATTAGGTTGAAAAGATACAGGGTTTAGAAAATCGGAGTTTGTGGCAAAGACTCAACTCCTTTGTACAATACATCACTGAAAACTAGATACATGTGCATCCTGGTCATAACACAAGCCAGGCAGATACAGCGAAAATAATTTTAAATGTCTTACTTTTCATGAAATATTAAAATAACGCCAATCTTGGGCCAGAATTGGACGCATTGTACCGCACGATGATAGGGTCGGACAGGTAAGAATTTAGTAAAGCTTTCATAATCCCTGACATTCTGAGATGACATTTGTAACAAGTCTTTCACTGTACTCCAAATTCCATGAATTGAATGTGGCATTTATCGAATTCTTGCGCGTCGAATCTTGTTTGACGCAACAAAATTGAATTGACAATACCATATATTTTCTGTATCGTGCGTAAGAATTCTAAAAGTTTACCTGACATGTGCATGTAGCTGGTTAACTGTATCATGGATAACTGTTAACCTATGTTGTAAATTAAAAATGAATAAATAGAAAATAAGAAAGTTACAATTAAGTTTCAAAAGAACACTTCACTGGGGCTCAAGGACGTGATAAATCAAGTGCTAACCTGCTTCAAACTTAACTAAAAAGCACTGAAATTATCTAAAATAACCCTTAAATCCTATTTTGTGAAATCTGAAAACATTAATAACATTTGACTTGATCTATTTCTACTTGTCCAGTGGTGTATTTGCTTGATCTATTTCTACCTGTCCAGTGGTGTATTTGCTTGATCTAGAGCTGAGAGTTCAACTAGTGCTGCAGGGAGAGGAACACAGAGCTCTTCACGGAGTTCTAAACCTCGTCCAGCCCGGCCTCGACCTCCCAAACCTTGTCTAGATACAGTGGAAACCATAAACTGTGTACTGTACCCCAAGAAGAAAAATGTTAGACTCAAGAAATAATTTTAAATAAAAAAATACAGCTATTGTGCAGTGAACACAGACCCATTTCCTTAATAAGTTTATTCTTGCAAGCAACTTTTAAACTATTTACTTTATAGCAACATAAAACATAAATTATATTGCATAAATGTCGAGTTTAGAGTTCCTATTCCACGGTTTCATGGGTCTCATTTGTACCTGTACCTGTACCTGTACCTGTACCTGTACCTGTACCTGTACCTGTACCTGTACCTGTACCTGTACCTGTACCTGTACCTGTACCTGTACCTGTACCTGTACCTGTACCTGTACCTGTACCTGTACCTGTATAATGATGTGAGTAAGGAATGTATCCTAGTATCCTGGTCCCTGTGGATACTGCACACTAGCGCCCAGAGTAAATCATGAAGGAAGATGAGAACTATATTTTCCACGCTTATCTTTAAGGTCTCATGAAACCTTAAAATTTATAATATGAACCTTAACGATAAGAATAGTTTCACTGAAAGTTTTTGATTAATTAAAATAAATCAGAATTGATTAAACGGATTAGATAAAGTAAAATGATAACAATGATAATAATAATACCTTGGGCTGCGTCCTGAGACCGCCAAAGATTTAGGGAATGAGATTAGCGCATCTTGACAAAATCTTTGAACCTATATTAAAAACATTTTTAGATTGATAATTTGTAAGAATATGCATAAAAGCCCGACCCGTCCAAATATCATGATATCGTGTACCTATTAGTTTCATAACTTGAGAGAGAGATGTTTTATCCCCGACCCGTCCCCATTATGATATTGTGTACTTACTAGTTTCACACATTCATAGAAAGATGGTGTATCTCCAACCCGTCCCAATATCATGATATTGTGTACTTCACTAGTTTCATACCTTGAGAGAAAGATGGTGTATCTCCAACCCGTCCCAATATCATGATATTGTGTACTTCACTAGTTTCATACCTTGAGAGAAAGATGGTGTATCTCCAACCCGTCCCAATATCATGATATTGTGTACTTCACTAGTTTCATACCTTGAGAGAAAGATGGTGTATCTCCAACCCGTCCCAATATCATGATATTGTGTACTTCACTAGTTTCATACCTTGAGAGAAAGATGGTGTATCTCCAACCCGTCCCAATATCATGATATTGTGTACTTCACTAGTTTCATACCTTGAGAGAAAGATGGTGTATCTCCAACCCGTCCCAATATCATGATATTGTGTACTTCACTAGTTTCATACCTTGAGAGAAAGATGGTGTATCTCCAACCCGTCCCAATATCATGATATTGTGTACTTCACTAGTTTCATACCTTGAGAGAAAGATGGTGTATCTCCAACCCGTCCCAATATCATGATATTGTGTACTTCACTAGTTTCATACCTTGAGAGAAAGATGGTTTATCTCCAACCCGTCCCAATATTATGATATTGTGTACTTTACTAGTTTCATACCTTGAGAGAAAGATGGTTTGTCTCCGACCCGTCCCAATATCATGATATTGTGTACTTACTAGTTTCATACCTCACGAGAGAAAGATGGTTTATCTACGACCCGTCCCAATATCATGATATTGTGTACTTACTAGTTTCAAACCTTGAGAGAAGGTGGTTTATCTCCTACCCGTCCCAATATTATGATATTGTGTACTTTACTAGTTTCATACCTTGAGAGAAAGATGGTTTATCTCCGACCTGTCCCAATATCATGATATTGTCTACCTGCAAGTTGCATACCTTGAGAGAAAGATGGTTTATCTCCGACCCGTCCCAAGAACCAGAACTTGAAACTTCTCCAATATATTTTCTAAGAGGAACTATACTTCTCCTAAAGTTAGAGAAATTTAAAGACATGGAAAAATAAATTATTTTTTAGATTTAAAAGATTGGTTCGCAGTGTTATAAAGTTTTTGGACAAAAATGTTCTCCTTATCGGGAAGGTTCAAGCCTTTTTAGATTTAATTTTGTTCCGAGCTTTATAACACTGTTATTATGAAATTCACGATGAAGTGAGGAAGAATGATGATTCAAGGGCGTATACAGAAATAAATGTAGGGGGGGGCAAGATTTTTTTGCCCCCCCTAGGAGCTCCTAGGGGGGGGGGGCAAAATTCGAACTGTAAATTCATAACACTTGGCTTCTTGGATATCAGGCATAAGTATAAGATACTTAAAAGGCACACATACAGTCCAAATAATTANGAATTTTATATTAAAGGCTCTATTTACGGCTTTATTTACAAGTGAAATCTTTTTAAACAGTGAAATAGTTATTAACCCATTGATGCCAAAAGCGTCGGTTTTTGATCCGTTCTAAAACTTTTAAATTTGGAAGATTTCTTTTAACTTTTTTCAATATTCTTATTAAACTAAATTCTTATTTGAGCAGTGCATATTGGGTTATATTTTATCTTTTTTCTTGCACTTGATATTCTTTTAATTTAGCAAGCGTGCACGTGTGTTGTTGTTCATTGTGGTTTATATCGGTTCAGCAGTATCCTCAAGCAAACTTATTGCTCTCCTTAAGCAAACTTATTGCTCAAGACCCTGCTGGATCTACCCTAGCTCTGTTCAACCCCGATCAGCGAAACAAGTAAAGGCCGTTCTAATAAAGGATTTACACCAGTGTAAACTGTCATTTACACTGGTGTTTACCTAGGATCGGATTTAATAGTCATGAATTACACTGGTTCAAACAACAACAACGTACAGTTTACACCGGGTAGATTTACACCAGTGTCAAGAAATGAAAACACTGGGTCCACCCTGTGTTTTCTAACTTACCCTAAGGGTAAACCTGGTATTCAGCTGAATTCAGATCAGCTGATTAAATAAAATAAACAATAACAAATCTGTGATTTTTGAATTTCAATCTGTAAAATCTGTTGAATTCATGATTATTGTGAACTAATTTATAAATGTTAAGTTAAAAGTTAAATGTTTTTTTTTAGAAAGAAATGATTATATTTGATTCTGACAGGAAATATGTTTTCGAATATGTTGCAAACATTAAATCAAGTGTTAACACAACTAAATCTAAGGGTACGGACGGGTCCTAGAAAACGATTTTTGTTATAAATTTTGTACATGACCATTATTTTTAATATTTTCAGCAAGTTAGTCTATATTTACAGTTAGATTAGGCCCCCTAGCCCATGCCAAAACCCATGTACAAAATTGATATGAAGAGGGGGGGGGCCAAAAATTTTCATTATTACGAGATAATCTGCCATTTTAAAGTGATTCTAATTTGTGGAATAAATAATTACCATTTATCATAATTTTCTTGGTTAAAGGAAGTAAAACAGACAATCTGGACATAATTTTTTGTATTTCGACAGGGGCACCCTTTACAGCTGGTATTGTAGCTAATAATTTCTAATTAGGTGCCCCGAGAGCAGACTGGAAACCATGTATAATGGAAGCTCTCAACCGGATTATTGATGAACTGCATGAGGGCAAGTTCCGAAAACTTTTGGAAATGCCAATTCATACCAATGTATATTAATTTACCTTAAATTCATAAACGCAATTTTAATGGCAACACAATTAAAGAGTTTCATTGATATAGTAATTTCTTTCTTTACATAAATCCCGCCGTCCATTTTACAGAGACCCAAACATTCAAAATAAGCAATCATCAGATAGGAAAACGAGGATATCTTCATATTTGCAAATGCAAGTGTAATGCTAAAACTTTTTTTTATTATTTTAGACTTGTAATGCAAACCTTATTAACGCTTATTGGATCTGGGTTTACCACGACTTTTCAACTTGGGCTCAGACTAATGGATTTAGTGGTGTCACCTTTCACCAAATGAAAGATAAAAGTAAAGAAGTAAGAATTTGTGTTTAATTTTTTAACCACAGAGTGTCCTAATACACATATGAAATAAAAGACAAATGTAAATATCGTCTTTGATTGGATTGAGAACATTTTGAAAATACTATAAGTATAAAAAGTCTTCCCCAGGGTGGATACATGTATTATATGAATATGGAATAACTCATAAAGGTCATACAATTAAAGATAAACGTAATTCCAAAGAAATATTTTTAATGAACATAAAATACAAATAGTTAAAATGAACATAAAAAATAGTTCAAATGAAATATTTTAAAGAAACATAAAAATAGTCCAATTCAAATGAACGTAAAAATAGTTTAAATGAACCAAAAAAAATGGTCAGTACAGGTTAAGGGGCCGAGCGCTGCTTTTAACTATTTTTTTGTGCATTTTAACTAAGTTTTTGTTCATTTTAAATATTTTTTGTTCAATTTAACTATTATTGTTGTTCATTCGAACTATTTTTGTTGTTCATTTGAACTAATTTTAACTATTTTTGTTTTAGTATCCTTACACAATACTCAGTGGATTTATAAATTTATTTTAGTCTAGGACGGAATAAACAGCAAAAATCGTTCCGCGAATCTATCAGCCAGGAGCTGATATTGGCAACAGAAAGAAATGAAAAGCAGCAGCTTGCCGCTGTAAGCAGATACAGGAGTAGAACGGGGGGAGGAAGCAGTATCCCTGATGCCCCAATTATGGATCCTCTGTTGATCAGGAATTGGTTTATCTGTTTTTACGTTTTAATGGAACTGTAAACATATAATTTTGACTGGTCATTCATTTAAAAGAGTCGCTGGCAGAGTACTGTAAAAAACCGTTTTTTATTTGAATTTTCATGTATATATGTGTATATATCAATACAATGAAGACAAATTTCGCAATTTTTTTAACGTACAGATAAACTATAATAAACAAATAGTGAGGACCAGCATCTGAACCTAAAATATGGTTTAATGACCGAATTTGGTTCTTCATTTACGCCAGCATAAAGGACCACTAAGACCATACCCTGCTCCACTGCTCCAGCTCCTATACAACCTCAACCTCAACATCAACATCAACATCAACATCAACATCAACATCAACATCAACCTCAACCTCAACCTCAACATCAACCTCAACATCAACATCAACATCAACATCAACTTCAAACTCAAACTCAAACTCAAACTAAACCTCAAACTAAAACTCAACCTCAACCTCAACCTCAACCTCAACCTCAACCTCAACCTCAACCTCAACCTCAACCTCAACCTCAACCTCAATATCAAACTCAAATTCAACATCAACCTCAAATTCAACCTCAATCTCATCCTCAGCCTGTGATCGTGGATGATTTTGATATTCTTAAAAATGCAATGTTGGAAATTGAGTTCTCAGGAATATATTCATTTTATTTGAATTTATAGCAAATTATGGTGTCATTTTCAATGTAATTTTTTAACGAAATGGAAGCATACACATTTAAACAAAACTTTGTAAAATGAAATATTTAATAGACCAGGAGCAGCCAGAACCCATGGTTTTGCAACAAGATTTGCAGCAGAACCTAAATGAACATCATCTGCAGCAGGAGCTAACAGAACTTCCGCCACATGAACATCATCTGCAGCAGAAGCTAACAGAACTTCCGCCACATGAACATCATCTGCAGCAGAAGCTAACAGAACTTCCGCCACAACAAAAGAAAAGGAATACTACTGTTTCACATGCTGCTCCTTTGGCTAAGAAAAGCAGATTAGCTAGTGTAGCGTCCTTAATTGAAAAAGCGACAAGTTGTGTAGACACAAAGTAAGTTCTTTTCTTTTTAAACAATCTAAAGATCAAACATTCAATATAAATACAACAAAACAGTTACAAACAATTTTGCAATTTCCATTTTATCTAGAATTGATCTGAGAATTCAACAAGTGGAGCTTCTAAGAAGAAAATTTGTGAAGCAAGATGATGAGTAAGTTTATTGATTTTTTTCCCTTCTGCCATTTAAGACCAGGGGTGTATATTTTGTTGAAAAATCATTCCCCTCCCATGATAATAATGGAGAAAAAAGATTAAATTTTTGGGTAAAAAATACGACAAAGGTTGAAAATTACTAAAGTAAGCATGTGATTTGTTTAGAGCTGAGTTGAGGGAGCAACAAAAATCCTTGTTGAGGATCAGGATCCTCAAAGAGGAAGAGGAGCTTCTCGTCACTAAAGAAAAAAGAGTGTATCAGAAAATTGAGCATGAGAACAATGTCAAAGAACATAGAAAAAAAATGGAGATTTTGCAAAGTTTTGCCGCATTAAAGGTTTTGATTTTTATTTGTTTAAACTTGATGATATCAATATTTATAACTTTGAAAACAATTCATTTTCAATTGTGGTTTCTCTAGAAAAATCTTTAGAATAAAATCAGTTAAGGTTTTAAGGTACCTTTGAGAAGCTGTCATGGAACTACAAATGTATGGTTGGTTGGTCATTTATCTCTATCAATGAATAAAAACAAATGAACTTGAAAACCAGACTGATGAGCAAAACTTTGAAAATAATATAAACCACATTTAATTTTTTAAACATTATATATACATGGAACCCCAAAAAACAGATTTATTTCATGAAAACTTTAATTAAACATTTTTATTTGCTTTAATGTTTTGTTGATCTATATATAAATTTGGCTTGTCTGTCAGCCTAGTATTATAAACAACATTTGATTTGTTAAACATTATATATATGATGTGTAACCAAAAATAAAGATATATTTCATGAGAACTTTAAAAAAACCTTTTTATTTGCTTTAATGTTTTGTTGATACAGGGTACAGAGTACAGGATACATAGTACAAAGTACAGGGTAAAAAGTACTGGGTACAAAGTACAGGGTACATAGTACAAAGTACAGGGTACATAATACAAAGTACAGGGTACATAGTACAAAGTACAGGGTAAAAAGTACTGGGTACACGATACATAGTGCAGGGTACAGAGTTCAGGCAAAGGCTCAGAGGACAGGATACATAGTACAATGTACAGGGTACAGGGTACATAGTACAGAGTACACATTACTCAGGGTACAGAGAACGGGGTAAGAAGAACAGGGTTCAGCGCCTGGCATATCTTCGGATTTCAGCCTGAACCCTATGGTTTGCCATCATGCCACGTTCTTTTCTGGTTGGTATGGGATCCATTCCCAGCCTCCAGTTATCTTGCATCTGGTAAGCCCTGGTTTTTCTTTCTGCAGGATTAAGATGATTAAGAATGATAGGTCTGTTGAGCTCATCAACCTCATCATCAATATCCTTTAAACGTTTGCAGTCTGGATGGTCATCATCAGGAACTTCATCATTGCAGTCCAGTGCCATGTTGTGAAGAATGGCTGCAGCAGTGGTTATTCGACTAGCATTTCTGAGCTTAGTTCGGATATACTTAACTATTGGAAATCTTCTCTTCATCATTCCGTAAATATTCTCAGTCATATCCACTCTTGCAGAGCTATGCCGAATGTTAAACAAACATTTATTATCGTCTATACGGGACTCTGCTTCAGAATACGGGGTCATCAAAAAATCTGATTGTGCATACGCACTATCTCCGAGTACATACCTCTGGGGAAAATTCACCTCAAACCAAGCCTTGGCTCGCGACAGTGTCCAGACAGCTGTGTCGTGATAAGAACCTGGAGCTCCAAGATTAATGTTATAGATTCGTCTGTCAAATCCCCCCAAGATCATGGCCTTCAGACTCCAAAACCCTTTTCTGTTCCGGAATTTTTCAGGCTCTCTTCCTACAGGAATCCCCCGGGGTTTCTCCAGAAATGGAATGTGGCATCCATCGACTCCAGCTATGACATTAGATAGCAGATATCTATTGAAGACAGAGACCATATTGTCTCTCTGCTGAGCCTCAGTGGGCATGTAGAGGTACCTTCCACTGATCTCTGGTAGGTTCAGAAGGTTCAGAGCATCGACCAGACTGAATAAAATATTAATAGTTTAATGCCAGTTTTCAAAATTTTCATAAGTCTTCAATTTATGTTTTTTATCAATTAGTACTGAAAGGTTTTTTAAAAGTAGAATTTCATAAAAGTACAGAGTGTCCCATGAAACATTTGCAGTTGAGTGATGACTTGACTGTCATCTTTTGAATAAAATTCAAATCCTCTCTGAACTGTCATGTTTCTTAGAAAAAAATGTATGATTCTCAATACCTATACAGATGGTTTAAGGCAGTCCCAGTGGACACACCAGTTGATGAGCTTGCCACTCGAAAAAAGTGGCCACCTGCCATAATTTCCAGACCAGTTCCAACAATTAACTCTGGTGAACATGGAAGGCCACGATTAGTGGTAGGATTTTTCAGATGAGGACAAAGTTCTTCTACAATGTTGCGAAAATTATCTTTGTTAAATCGATATCTCGCCTTGAATTCTCTGTCGTTCGGAATATTTAGTGGGTTCAGTCGGTTTCTTTGCCTAAAAATTTTGAAAATATACAAGGTAAATAAAAAACCAAAAATGTGATAAAAAATGTTTATTCTATTCCGAACATTCATAAAAATTTGTTAATCCCTTTTTTTACTCACCCTAGGTAGAGTTTAACATTCTAAGATGGGGGGGGGGGTTATTAAATAATAAATATATGTCTATTTACCAGATAGCTGATCTTTCAGCAGGAGGAGGAAAATGTTGAAGGTCCTTGATATCTTGAATCAGATTAATATCAAGAATATCATCAACATCATCCAAAGTGTCGAATGAATCATTGGAAGAAACACTAGAATTATCATCATTCCCAAAGATGTCTAAATCCATTGTGTAAAATATCTGAAACAATTTACAATGTATAGCTGACATATGCATATAGTTTGAAATTAGGGGGGGTGTACCCTCCCCTGGATTTTTACAAATCATTTCTCATTTAAAGTATAGTTTTTCTTCATTCTATGGTGGTAAGCGATAATATCAATATAATGAAAACGACTTTTTAATTTCAGTTTTAATGGTTAACAAGCTTTTTCGTATTACAAATTTACAAGTAATTAAAGTGAAGTTTTTTAAATTCACAGCTTCTCTTAATGTTTCCATATTTTTGTCTATCCATGCTGTTTAAAAGCTTGATAAAAATCAAAAGTTCAATTAGAAAGTCGTCTTCATTATATTGATAAATTATCGCCTACCGCTGTAATAATATAGTTTACTTGAAAGTAACAACATTATGAAAATTTAAATTTTAAGTAAGATATCATTCTATATTATTTGTTAGATAAATAAATGGATTATTAAGACATTTTTTGCCTACC